AGTTTCCTACTAGAGTGTCCCACAAGAGTGTCCCACAAGAGTGTCCCACAAGAGTGTCCCGTAAGAGTGTCCCACAAGAGTTTCCTACAAGAGTGACCCACAAGAGTGTCCCACAAGAGTGTCCTACAAGAGTGTCATTTGGACATATGTAGCTTTTCGAACGTGCTTGCATTCGGGTTCGTGGGCTCCATCTTGTTTCATTTTTCATTTGGGAGAGTTTGGATCATATGTGCTTTCATCCCATTTTTCACAAGGGTCAGCACTTGTAAGGTGGAATTTAGATTGGGCAAGAGCAGAAAGTGCACTCTTTTTTGGCGCGCGCGCGTTTTGCAGGTGTATTTTCTTTGCACTTGCGGCCACGTTCGGGCCAACGCCTCAAGCAAATTTCCTCGGTTGTTCCACCGAAACTGTTGTTCCCGAAAACAGCGCGAATTCAGAAATCCTTGCGCGCCGCTTCATGTTTTCGATATAACTTACACTAACGGTGAACACTTGTTTATGGTATGGCTTTGTTCGCTTAACAGCAAAATACACTAGCGCATACTTTTGTACCTAAACTGACTACAGCTGCCGTCGGCACTGCTAGATGAGCCGCTCTCTGTACTGCTTTGCTGCATGTGCTTGAGCTGTTTGCCCTGCCGCCCCGTGTGGGCTTTGGTGTTTGCTCTCATACTTTGCCTAGGAGCGTTGCGTGCATTTTGTTCTCACGCTATTGGGTCTGTCATTTGGGCCGTGCGCTACCGGGCGCATATTTCAGCAATTTCTGCTAGCGCGGCGCTGGCGCGAGCCTAGCGCGAAAAGTCTCGAGCATTTACCTGGTTCAGCCCTGGCAAAGACAAGGTGTGACAATGGGCAAAGCAAGCTCACTAGGAATAGTGCGACATGCCAACCATTTAAAATTGCGTCCTTGCTCCTGCTAGCCCTATGAAGCTGCACATCACAGTTTAAGCATGTGGTCCAAGCTAAATATCTTCCAGCAATCAAAAGCAGATTCAAAAAAGCACCGGCGCGCCACAAGCGCCACGCTGGCACCTAGCTTGTGTTTTAGAGTATTCTCTTGCGCGCCGCTTCATAATTTGCTTTTAAGATCTATCATCACAAAACTAGTGTTGCCAGTTTGTATAAACTCCTTAGCACCGACTTTTGGCATCCAAACATGTCCCAAATGCATTGATGCAAATCTTTAACGCGAAAGATTTCTACAGAAGAGCCCTTCGCAATGCTCCCGGGGAAACATATCAACTATATTAAAAAATGACCAACTGAGTGCAAGAAAAAGACATATCGAAACAACAAAAGCGCCGACTGAGCACGAAAAACAACAGGTCGAAAAAATCACGAACAAACACTGACTGAGAGCAGAGAAGAACATGTTAAAAACACGAATCAACTAGCGGCTGTGAACAAGAAAAACCATAGAAATCACACTTCGCAAAACTTTAGGAAACAAACCTAGCACGCTTTCCATGACAGAAGACGCGCGTTCCAAAACGAGGCGGTTCCCTAGTTCAAACCGATGGCGAACATCGAGTGGAAAGTTGACTGAAAGGCGTGTGGGAGCTTGGATGCCTGTCTTTTCAGAAACAGAACCTGATGGCCCCCCTGATTGAAACCGATGGCCTTTGGCTTGAACCAGTTCCGCGGACGGATCGACAGGATCATTTTTCGTCCTTAAGGCCTCAGCCTACACTTCGCGAATGAAATGGGCAGGGCAAGGGTACGGAGGATCAGCCAAACCGCGCATTTCGGTGGCTTGACCAAAGGCAATTACCGAATAGGAAGAACATGGAAAAGCAAGGCCGTTGCTATTAGAAGCAAAGAAAGAAAAGGGCAACTAGCGATTTCGCCCGGCGCATGCATCAATCTCATAGGTTCCCGGGCTGCCGGGAAGCCAAACTGAAGTCCCAGTGCCTGAGAGCTGAGACGAGTCGAGGCCAGGTTCCTAGTAGCGATGCCAGGAGCCCCCAGTAGCTTCTTGCTCCTAGTAGTAAGGCCAGGAGGCCCTAGTCAAAGGAAGTTTAGGGTGCAAAACTTCCGTGTTACGGACTTTCAAAAGCTGTAGCTCTAGTTAGCACTAGTTCCAGTCAGCTCTTCATCAACATGCATTTTGGAAGGAAGTCTCGTACAAAACGCGTTTTTCAACAGGTCTAGCTCTAGTTAGCCCTAGTTCCAGTCAGCCCTTCAACATGCAACTCCTGAATGGTTTCCGCACTGTAAATGTGACTGCAAGTGTTGCTGGTGGATGAGCTGTCGCTGGAATTTCATTGTGTTTTGCAGTTTCCGGATCGTTCCTGCACTGTAAATGGCACTTTCATGTCTGGTTGGATCATGTCTTCCAGTTACATTTTTGGAGGAAGTCTCGCAGAATTGCTTCCTTTTGCTGGTGTGCAACATACATTTTGGAAGGAAGTCTCGTGCAAAATGCGTACTTCTGTGTTCCGGGCTTTCATCAGCTCTAGCTCTAGTCAGCTCTAGTTCCATGCAGTCAGCTCTCTAGCTCTAGGTGGCTCTAGCTCCAGTCAGCCTTAGCTCCAGTTAGCTAAAGCGGTTTGGAAGGATGTCTCGTACATTCCAAGTGTGCAAGTAACATTCCGAGTGCAAGTTGTGGACCTGGTTGTCAGATAGTGAGCCCCTAGTAGCGTTCGTGTTCCTGGCAGCGATGCCAGGAGCTCCTAGTAGCTTCTTGCTCCTAGTAGTAAGGCCAGGAGCCCCTAGTAGCGCTCGTGTTCCTAGTACCGATGCCAGGAGCTCCTAGTAGCTTCTTGCTCCTAGTCGTAAGGCCAGGAGCCCCTAGTAGCGTTCGTGTTCCTAGTAGCGATGCCAGGAGCTCCTAGTAGCTTCTTGCTCCTAGTAGTAAGGCCAGGAGCCCCTGGTAGCGGTCGTGTTGCTAGTAGCGATGCCAGGAGCTCCTAGTAGCTTCTTGCTCCTAGTAGTAAGGCCAGAGGCATTGGGCTCGAGCCTGCACGGGGCGTGCCTGCAACCCTGTCGTAAGACAGGGTTCGGATCGAGCCATGGCATCCATACATGTGGACTTTCTCCGATATACCTTTCGAAGCTCATCCAGTTGGAAGGCCGCATTTTGTTGCCAGATCACTGCCTCAAAGACGCTTTTGAGAACTCATGATTACTCCCTTGTTGAGGTCTTCACCACACAAGGTACAAAGCGTATTTTGAAGGTGAGCCTGGAGGTGCTGCCACACCTATCTACAAGTCGTCCATGTGTTATGTACATTTGGCGCAAGTATGGGTGTTGGCATGCAGGTGTGAAGATGCTGCCTGATGACGAAACAAGTGCAGATGGGTTCATCATGCATGACCTCCCCGACGTTCCACCGGGAGTATCCGACCCTGGCTACAAGCCACAACCCGACGAGTTTGAACCCTGGGCTATGGAATTTGAGAAGTTCGATAGGATGTCCGGCTATGGTGATGCCAACAGCATGATGACTCACCAGGAGTCTTCAGATAAAGCTGCTCATCATACAGTGTACCATCATGACACGGACAACCAGTGCACAGAAGATCACGAGGATCTTGAACCATGGGCGCAGGGATTCATCCACTGCACAAAGGCTGTTAGGTCCGAGCCGGTATGTGTACACCTATGTGAAGATCCGCTTGAACCATGGGCGATGCATTACAACCAGGTTGATAGAGTCTCCGGAGAACGACTTTATCACCATGCCAAGAGCTCATCTTGGAGTAGTGCGACACATTTTGCTGAATCTGCTCAACCGGAAGGTTTCGAGGATACAGTCAGCTTCGCACGAGATGATTCAATACCTCCTCCAGGATGTTTTGCTTGGTTCAGTTTACCTAAAGTTCCAACGATGGTGGTATGGACCTGAGTCATCGGACACATGTACATCTAACATGAAGGATTCCGCTCGAAGGCTACAGAGCATTCTGCCCCCTCAATGTTTGCTATCTCCATCGACCCAGATTTTGAGGAAGCCAGTGGTGAAATGGTACACAGGTGCTTGTTATCACGACACGATGTGTCCTACAGTTGATGACATCATACATCCGACTTCCACCTCTACAAACCTGCAGACATCACCCAGCACAAGCAAAACGCCTATGAGTTGCTCATGCCGACCAATGATGACGTCTCTATTACAATTTATCCGGAGGTTTACCAATGTTTCTTCCAGTTGGCTACCGTTAGTGCAATCGGACACAGTAATGTCGAGTTCCTCTGGAATTCGGGACGCTTCGTGTCCTCTTATCGCAACTAGCACTGACATTGACCACTGCAGAGATCCAAATTGCTCCTGGACTTCTTCAGGGCTTTTGTCACATATTCCAACAAGTATTGGACAGTCCGAGAATCATGATGCTCTTGCAGATGTTGTTCCGACACACAATCTTATACTTCATTCCTCGTGTCAGACAGAAGCATGTGCTCGTCCAAGAGATTATTTTGAAGATTTCTTTGTATACCGTCTTCAACGACCACAGCAGACCACTATCTCCACAGGGGCTGTACCCGATCCAACCGCATTGATCCAAGCACTACAGCCTTTGACAATATCTCGCGGGGCTGTACCCGGCTACAACCTCATGTTTTTTGACGAGGGAGTATCAATGGTGCTAGGATTTGAGCAGTTCCTTTACAGTCAAGATGAACAAAGATTTTTATGCATCAATCAGCCTGATCATGGAGAGTTATATGTGTCAATTCCAGACATGCCCAATAGAGATGCACAACACTCGGATGATACAGACTTTGATCAAGTGGCGATTCAATGCTGGTCAGATGATTTCCGCCTCTACCTCAACGCTTTGAGCTCCATTGGACCTCAAGATGGTTACGCTAGTGCAGAGCTCACTAGCTTGCAATCTGAAGCATCGTCTCCGCATCCAGCCATTCAAAACGACTCGTCAGACGACTTGTCAGATCCATATCATGCGTCCTTACTGACAGTTGGTGACAGTGATTTCTGTGATCTACCTTTGGTCACACCTCAAAGTTCAGTACCCACAGGGGATGGACCCGACCCAAACGTATATGATCCAAGTCAACTACAATGTACCATATCTCGAGGGGCTGTACCCGTTTCCAACATCGATTGGTTCCGAATGCTCAGATTGGTCCAGACCACAGGAGAACGAGTAGTTGAGCCTGCTAGACGAGACGATGATGAGGATTCGTGGAAGACCTATTCCCAAAGCGATCTTGAAGATCTTGACACTTTATTCAGGTTTGATTTCAGAACAATGGGAAGCGCATCAACAACTCTGCTGTATCAGAACAGTGATATTCCCACGAAAGTGGAACAGAGTGCTGATGATCCTCTACCATTTCTTCGCCCGTCGACAGTGTCAGTTGGCCATTGCAACTTACCAGCATGTCCATGCAATCCAGCTTACACCAGTTTGGTGCCTGTTAACATCCTGCAAGACACCGTCATTCTCTCTGTCAAGAATCAACTTCAGTTGCATCAAGAATTTTTACAGGACACTACCTCTAGAGGGGCTGTACCCGATAACAACCGCCTACAGCTTATTTTTGATCTGGGTCAGCATAGATCGTCCCGAAGTTGCCCTTCACAGGTTGCTTTTGTGGACTACCCCACTACACCTGTGGACTCCGATGTAACAGAAGGGTTATCATACTGCCATGGATATCGTACTGCCAGCCTGTGGCCCGGTGACTTATACCATGCACAACCGCAAGAGTCACAGTGGTCCCTGACAGTATCCTCGCATACTAATAATTCCATTAGGACGCAGCAGCTCCTACAAGAGCCCTCCGTCCTTGACAGGGCCGTCCTCGTCACCAACCATGTAACCCATACGCCTTTTCGAACTTCGTTTCAGCTTGATGTCGATGGTGGACCAGATAGACAACTTCAACGACACACAACCATCTCTAGTGGGACTGTACCCAGCTACATCCTTGGTCCACATTGTTGTTCTTCAGCCGACCTCATGGAAGTCTATGGTCAAGGACATCTTCCAGTTGACATCGAGAATTTCATGTTTCCAACCTTACTATGTGATCGTGGCAATTTCAACCTGCTCGGTACCCCCCCAAAGGGGTGGTTATGATCGACTGTGTGTACCAAGACATCAGAACAATGATGTTGTACATACTAAGCCACAGCAATCAGCTTCATCAGACTCATTTCGATCGATGGCCCTTGCACGCAACAACTCGCAGTCTTCATCCTTTCGAGGTTGGGGAGGAGCTATTTATCGTGGAGGACATCCAGCATGGGGCCGCTGTGAGATTATCCACATGGAGCCTAATCCGTCATTCGCAGAACGATGCGCTGCAGCCACACAAGACAATGGCTGGTTGGCCTCCGATGAGGCATTATGGTTTCTTCGTTTACTCCGTGACTGGAGATCTGACATTGCCATTGGACCAATCATCCAATGGAGCCCAAGCAGAGATCTCCAACATTTGATGGCAGCAGAAGACCAATTGCAATGCAATAATGGTCAATTGAACATCCTCCTATTTTTGGTTGAAGCACACTGGTGCGCCGTTGAAATTGATCGTCGAACTGAACCTGCTCATGTGATCCTCATTCAATGGCCGACAGAACACCATACTATGGTTATTCTTGAGGTGTCTCGAATACTGCAGATCCCATCCCATCGAATGCTGGTAACGCTGGATGACAGTAATGAAGTGGTCACAATGTGTGGGTGGACAATTTTGTTCCGATGGTACACTAATTTCGCCATGCAGACCTGTCTTCAGCCATTAATTCATGCCAATGAACAGGACCAGATCCGCATCGATAGTGTCATTCATCGGGCACAACGCCAATGGGACCGCACCAATGCATCCACTCGTCTTCGACGTTTTGCTGCTGAGTGCCGAAGAGCATTTATGTCAGCCTATGCGAGGGACCAACCAGATACCCGTTTACCGAACTCGGTTTCGACTGTCATGT